GCAGAAGAAATCCCGAAGAACTCCGTAACAACACCTGAAAGCAGTATGTTTAGATACAAACTAATAAATGTGCAGAAAAGCCAGAAATAACCTTCATGTATTAAGTCTGTTTATGATAGTTTGTATGGTGTCTTGAAAGACTATTAAAGAATCATGGAAATGGATTCCAAATAGGCAATGATTAAGAAAAATGGAAAAATAAACACTAAACTTTGAATGGATAAGATTCATCTCCCTTAACAGCTACCTGAAATTGAAATGCTCTGTTCAACTGTTTGTCTAGATTCCCTCAAGATTATGGCAATAAATGGTGGCTTTCAGGTGTCAGTTCAGAAATTTATCCTGCTCTAAAAAACTCAATGATCTTTGAGATGAAGCACCTTATGGAGATGCTGACTTGTCTCTACTAACTGTAGAGGAAATCTTGACTGCTAAGTGACAATATAACTGACATATTTTTGTCAATAGGGTAGGATTCTTCTACTGAACTTTACAAAAGATGCCTATATGTCACCTAGTCATCCTAGAGTTTTACTATTCATGAAGATAAAGAAACACTTCTGGAGTTCTTTTATGTAATCTATTTTAGTAGTTTATCTTAGATTTTAAATAAATAATCAGGTGTCTAGGTAATAAATAGTAGGCATTCTTAGAAATTATTATTTCTCTTCATTGTCCATAAAGGAAGAGAAATGGCAAGTGAGATATATGAATTCACACTTTAGAAAGCTAATTTTTTTCTGATTAATTCCTCTAAAACTTCTTCAGCAGAAACGATTTCATGTTGATGGGTTATGTTGGAAATTTGATATGCATCAAATAGAAATATCACTACAATTCATCTTTAAAAGAAATCTAGTCACTCACAAAGGACATATCCATATTTATCTAATCCAACTTCTTTCTGATACAAAAGAAAAATTCCCTGGCATTTAGATCTAGCAACAGAAAAGATATGTCAGCTCATGTCAATTATAATTTATTATAACTGAAATTATACCAATTTCAGTGTAATGTCAGTCAGTGTTCAGGTTGTGTAGTGTCTCTCTATATTTTCATGATCTTGGGTAGGAAATTAGCAAATACATTTCTTAAATATATGTAGTTAGGATTATGTAGTCAGAACTGGCAATATGGGATTCCTCAACCAGAAGACATCTAATGCCAGAATACGTACAACAAAAGAGATACTTTTCTGAGTGAGCCTCTACAAGAAGAATACTTCATCAGCTTTATATTTCATTCACATATCTAGAAGCATATGACAGCAGATGGAAGTCAGATAACTAAATTTGCTATCACCCTAGCCATCTCTGTCATTCACTTGCAGATGTTGCTGCCCAAACATACAGATGTCTGAGTTATTTGTTAGCAGGTCTTGCCTTGATAAAGGTTTCAGTTTCCTAAATAGAATGTAGCCTTAGTTCAATTGCTATATGTTAGGTTATAAATCTATTTCTTCTTTGCCATGCTCATTTAGAAACTTTCTTCCAAAACGGCAGGCATTCTGCTTGAAGTCGCAGCATCTATCAGAAGGACAAGGTGGGAGACTGTCTGGTGGTTGTAGCTGCTTCAGCTGTCTGATTTTAATCTTCTGTCACATGTCTGCTGGAGTCTTTAGTGAGATAAAGCACTGCCAAGGATTAGAAAGACTACTAGTGAAATAGATTTTAATTAAGAATATTGACTTACTGTGAATTTAGGTCTATGACTTTTTCTCTCGTTCCATGTTGAAAATCCAAAGACAAAATATTTCCGAGTGGGAATGTTAACTGACTTAGGTAAAACAAAAAACAAGTGCTTCTGTTGTTTAACTTCTGCATAAAATTACTACTGGTTTCTACTCAGCACGTCATCTTAAATTACATTAAATTACTTGATGAAATACGAGACCTTAAGTAACTTCCCTAATAGTTTCTCCAAGTTAAGAAATCATTCCTATAAACTATCCATATTTAATGTTTGTATTAAGATCAGTGCAATTGAAGCTCCACCGAATGTTAGATTCAGTGTTCTATGCATTATCCTACTACAAGAAGTTTCTAGTCTGTATATCAAAGTCAGACTGAGAAAAAACTACAGCCGATGTGAGTTGGCAAGAAAAATGTGGTAGACTCACTTCTTCCCAAGTTTGTAGTCCAAAGTTTGCTTTTTGGATTACCCAACTGAATAAATTCAATATTATATTATTAAATATCCATTGGCCACCCAATAACTTTATAAGAGCTAGGGAAAATAAAGTAAAAGACACATACCATTTCTGTTCTATCCAATCCAGATAAACTTAGTACATAAAAAACCCTATCCTTATTTCTAGAGAGTAATCATTTTTGTTAAAATTCCTCTGCAGAAACTATATACAAAATGCATTTATGTGAGAACCTTTTGGCATAGAAAAAATGTCTGATTTGGGTGTTATGGAAATATGAATATACTTAATACAACATAAATCAATATAGGGAAACAGCTCTTTGATACCCCTTATATATAATAAACATTGTCACATGAAGAAAAAGCATGAACACAAGTCTTTGTATAAAACACAATATTATATGCAGTTATTCAGTTTGTCACAGAGACTGGAAATTTTATTAAGAAAAATATAGACAATGACTATAATGTTATTTCTTTGGAAAAGATATTCAAAACCAGGAAAGAATTGTATGAGATGAATTAGTAATAGACTGTTGTGCTCATGGTATTAGAAACACGGTTTCCAAAAACCATACTTGAGTGTGCATGGTCTCTAATTCTAATGAATTGTCAGTTCACTGGGAAAATGTGATCAAAGGTAAATAAGCATTTCTTCCTATTTTATTCTCACAATATTTCTTCAAGATGTTGTTAAATTTACTTTGATAGGTAATTAAGACATGTCAGAATGGAGTTTTTTACATGAGTTTTGAATATTTAAAGACAACATTATGATATTTCTCCACAATAGAGTTGATCTTGCCTGTTGGGTAGAACTACGTTGGCAAAAATTTGTATTTGCTTTCACAGTTTTGGTAAGCACATTTTTATAGCCATGTTACAGTCACAGATGAATAAAGTTTGCTTGCTTTTAACTTGAGCAATATAGAATTTATCTATTTCCTGTTCAGAGAGTTAGCTGTTCTTTTATGTATAGTACAACAGTTCTGCTTTATTAGCTTACTCTTTATCAGTTTTTGTCCTCTGGTGTAAACATCTCTAATCAGCCATGTGAACCCACACATGAAGGTAGCTGTATGGATAGCTAAGGACACAAAGCATACCCATCACATAACTAGAGTCAAAGGGAAGAGTTTCTGACAGCATTTCACACGTGGAAAATTTCAACAGCTTCTGCTTCTTCCACTGCATTATGGGGTTAGGGTACCTTTGTACCCGAGAGAGGACCAGATAACATATCAGTCTTTGCACAACCTCATTAGTAGCATGATGCAGCTTTGAAAAGCACAATTTTGATCCTTGTTTTGTGACCAATATGTGGCTCAAGGTCCAGCGATTGGTGTCTTCTGCCATATATAAGCATTATAGTCCACTTTGTCTATTTGTTTCACACAAAAGATAAATTCAGCCAGAAAAAAACCTAGTAAGAGAGGAAACTGACTCAGAACAATAGACAGACAATTTGTCTAGGCCCAAAGTATTTGTCAGATATTTTCCATACATATAGAGCTGAATTCCTCCTGAGGGACTCAAGTTGTACAGAAATGCTGTAAACAGGAGAAGAGTGGTTTTCTCCCTAAGACATACCTTCAAGTCATGTTGAATTACTTTTGTGCATCTTAACCACAAGGTGCAGGAAACATGTCATTACAGAATCACAGAATATGCAGAGTTGGAAGGGACCCATAAACATCATCAAATCCAACTCCCAGTCCTGCACAGGACCATCCCCAAGGGTCACAGCATGTGTCTGAGAGTATCATCCAAATGCTTCTTGAACTCTAGCAGGCTGGAACTGTGACCACTTCCCTGAGGAGCCTGATCCAGTGACCAACAACCCTCTGGGTGAAGAACTTTTTTTCTAATATCAACCCTAAACCTCCCCTGACACAACCTCACGCAGTTCTCTCGGGTCCTGTCACTGGTCACCACAGAGAAAAGATCGGTGTCTGCCCCTCCTCTTCCCTTCACGAGGAAGCTCTAGACTGCAATGAGGTCTCCCCTCAGTCTCCTCTTCAGGCTGAACAGACCAAGTCCACTCAGCTGCTCCTCACATGGCTTCCCCTCAAGGCCCTTCATCATCTTTGTATGCCCCCCTTTGGATGCTCTCTAACAGCTTAATAGCTTTCTTATATTGTGGTGACCAAAACTGCAAGAAATATTCAACGAGAGGCCGCACTAGTGCAGAGCAGAGCGGGACAATCCCCTCCCTTGACCGGAAGGATACCGTGAGAGATAGTATTGAAAGCTTTACTGAAATCCAAAAGGATGGCATCAACTGGCTTCCCTTGATCAGCTAGGTATGTTACCCTGTCACCAGGATTGATAATCAGGACTTTCCTCTCATGAAGCCATGCTGGCTGTGATCAGTGACTGCATTGCCTATCAGGTGTTTATACACATATGTAGTTTATAGTGTTGGTCTTCATAGATTCAGATTCTCACTTAAAGTTCTGTGGGGGAAGCCGTAAGCATCCAGACTCATTTTTAGGAAGGAGCCCTAACAGTATGAAAATTATCCTTCTCAATGAGCCAGAACAAACCCAACTCATCAAACATAATTTCGATAATGAACATCCCCATTTTACATTCAAATACTCCCAAAATGGTGGCAATTTATTAATGTCAGATTAAAGGGCTCAATTCATTATTCCCTTTCAGTAAAGAGGCAGTTAATGAGTGATGCATGCACATGGACAAGCTTCTAATTAGAGCTTCTGTATGTGTTGAAAACTTGGTGCTAGGATACTGAGTGGCTGCCAGCAGACTATTGACTTTTTTCCCTCTTTGCTGAACATGCCTATTTATACAGCTTATTGCTAATGAGATGCTAATTGAGTCTGCCATATCTAAATAAAAAAACCCTTGAGTTTATTGCTGAATCCTCTAAATGAAGCTCCATTTCAGAATATTCTCCGCTGATTCATTTTCCTCTGCACTCTCTGTGCCTGATTGAAAAATAATTTTGAACAGTAGGAACAGGATGTCAATTAAAAAAACCCAAAACACAACAACACCACATTATTTCTAGTATTAGTTTAGAAGAGAACCTAGTAAATTTATGCCTGGGTATTTATATTTAATTTTACTTAAAACAATACCAAAATGCACTCAAGTATATGGTGAATACTGTCTAGAAAATGTATAAATGGAAGTTTCAATGCCCTGGAGACATTCCAATATAATCATTTTGCATGTTATGCAAGCAGCCTAAATGATCACCACAAAAATAACAAGAAAGCACATTTAGAAAAGCAGAATGAAGGCGAGAGTAAGGATTAAGCACTTAAATCATTCGGTTAGCTAGTTAAGGTTTGCACAGGAGTGAAAGCAATCTAAGACTGAAGACAAAGCACTGCTTTTATGATCTTAAGCTTATTATTCAGCTGGCAGTAAATTCAGTTGCATGCATACTTGCACTCTTTTTTTCTGCATAAAGTTTTGTATTTTAGGATAAATATTGAAAATATTGTTTCCACTCATTTGGGATATATTTCTCTAAAAATGTTACACATTTATTCAGGTATCATATAGTGGCTGAAAAATTAATGAACAATACCTTTGGGATAAAATCCTTTCTAGGTATGCCATCTAAAACAAGCCTACTAAACTCTTTATTGTATCAATCATCTTTTTTTTTTTTTTTTGTAGTGGCAACAGTTCACTGTGACGTATCTCATGACTTTGTTTGAATGCTTCTCCATGGTTTGTGAGTGAAGGGTAATCACATGAACACAAAGACCTGGCAAGGAGCAAAGGACAATGTTAGGTGAAGAAACTATAGTAACCTAATAAGGAGCACACTGGGTAAGCTACTCAAAAAAAAAATCAGAAGAGAATAATTAGATCATTGCCTCTGCTGTGAAACCCACTAAAATGCATCAAAAAAAGAATGTCTCTGAATAAAGGAGCTATTGCCTACAAAGGTGTAGGATTTATCTTGGAATGCAGTGGGAAGAGAACATTCAGACTATGCAAAACTTATGAGCTCTTTTAAAGGAATTGTTGGAATATGTGAAATGTTTAGGGAAAGGACCAAAAAGGGAACATTGAGGTTAGTCAGTATACTCATCTGGAAAGCCCTGCACCTGATCAGTGCAGTCTATTTTACATTCTTATTAAATCCTTTTTCTATCTTTGTGTTGGCTACATTTCCCTTCTGAGCCTCTGTGTATGTACTTAGAGAACTGTCCTAGTTAGGACAACTGAGACCAGTTCATCAGGGTATGGGTGTAACCCAAAACTGTGTATTCTATAGCTTCCATGCCATTTCCCAGAAACTGTTATCAATGAACCATTTACACCCTCTGCCCATAGAGCCTGACTCCTCAGGCTATAAACTAGGTGTTAAGAGGCCTGTGAGATAGGAGGATGCTCCTGTCCTCACACCCTTTGTGGAACTCCCCGCCCTGAGGGAAGTGCTGAGCATTTCTGCCTGAACTGCAGGATATATAATCTTGGAGTCTTGGAACATTTGGAACCACTCTGTGGGATCCAGAGAAGGACTGCGGCTCATCGCTCTCAAACAGACTTGGATCACCACCTTATACTGGACTCCAATCACCACTTTGACCAGACTGCAACAGCTCTCCCCCCAGCATCTCACTGCAATCACCACTTTTGACTAGACTGCAACAGCTCTCCCACCAGCAGGTTCTTCCCCTCTCCCTTTACTTTGGACTCAAGCGGGGCCCAAGGAACACCACGTTGTTCATGCCCCAGGGTACTGGGTTATACATTTGGGTTTTGTGGGTTAAGACCAATTGTTTGTTTGTATGATTGTACTTACTGTATTATTTTAGTAAATTGTTATTCTGACTTATAATCTCTCCTTTGAGTTGAGTTCATTTCCCCTGCTGGTTAACTCTTAAACCAGCACATTTTTGGCGCCCAACGTGGGGCAGAGAGAGAGAAGTCAGAATCACAATTTCACTTTAAGCATTTGTCTATTTGGATATAGAAACTCCCTGATCACCATGTTGTTTGATGCATTCACATGGATGTTGTATTTGAGCCTGTTCATATTTCCACAGATGGGGTATTATTTGCCTGTTTTGATGCTCTCTTTAAGACCAGGGAGAGGGATCCAAATTGCTTTATTAGTATATTATGTTTATGTCATTCTAACATCAGAAGCAATGAGTTTCATTGTAAATGTGTATTCAGTCCTGTTTGCCTGTCCTGGTTTGGGTTGCTACCTCTGGGGCTTCATTAAAAATCGTACCCAGCCCTTTGGGGGAACAGGGGGGGATGGTTGTTTCCAGCCTCTCACCTCCTTCTTCCCCTTCAGACCTGCTACAACAGTTTTTGAAAATATTGAGTTCCCTTTTGATGTTAAGGACAGTATAATGTTATTGTTAGTGTTGCTCTGTCTGCTCTGTACTGTGTACACCATGTTTAGGGTCAGAACAGGGCCTTCTAGGGAGGTTGTCTGGACACCTGCCCTGGGAGCAGATAATGCTGAGTGGCACGGGAAGTGGGAGGACATCAGCCAGTATTTGGAGAAGTTTTCTCCTCCAATGATCTGGAAATTCACCCCTGAACAACTGCAGGATCCTGTTAGCATGATAAGACTGGTGAAGGAAAAATGCTCTGGCAGCTCCAGAGATGGCCAGCTCACAGCAACCTGCTGGGCCCTGGCCACTGCCTACCGGACACTACTTGACATGGTACAGCACTGTCAGGGGGAGGAGAGAAGGACCAAATCCGCAGGCACCACGTCCACCCAAACCACAGCTGAGTCAGAGGGAGAAAGAAATAAACCAACCGGCACCGTGTCCACACAAACCATCGAGGAGCCAGAAGAACAACCAAAACCAATAGCAGTCGCCCCTGTCCAGAAAAGGAAATCAAAGACTAAATCAGTCCGTATAGCAAATGATGACGGAGAGGCAGGACCTTCACATCCACTGGAGGAGACAGAGCCAGAAATAATCACTCGGTCCCTATCCCTGGGTGAGCTACGCGAGCTCCGGAGAGAGTTCACACGACAGGCGAACGAGTCCATTCTGACCTGGCTGCTCCGAATCTGGGATGCCGCAGCTAACGATACAATCCTAGATGGGAGTGAAGCCAGACAGCTGGGGTCCCTGTCTCGAGATGTAGTCATTGATCAGGGGATTGGAAGGAGGCAGGAAACTCTCAGCCTCTGGCGGCGACTGTTGTGCAGTGTGAGGGAGAGATACCTTTGCAAGGAGGACCTCCACGTACAGCAAGGACAGTGGAACACGATGGAACAAGGTATCCGGTGCTTAAGGGAGTTAGCTGTACTGGAGATAATCTTTTCAGACGATGAAAGATTCCCTAAAAGTCCAGATGGCGTACAGTGCACCTCCCAGATGTGGTTAAAGTTTGCACGACTCGGGCCAGAAATGTATTCCCGCTACTTAGCAACGCTGCAATGGAGGGAGGGAGAGGACAAGGTGGGAGCATTGGTTAGTAAACTCAGGATGTATGAAGACACTGTCACCGCCCCATTACGAGCCCACGTCTCATCTGTGGAAACCAAACTGGCTGAACACGTCCGAAGCCTGGAAGAGAAAATTGAAGAGGGACACCAGAAGCTAAGAGAGGAAATTAAGGAAGGGATCTTCCATATCTCACCAGGACAAACAAGAGTCTCTGCTATTAGGAGCCAGCGTCCCCCAGCTAAGGAGAGAAGGTACACTCCACGTGGCGATCTATGGTTTTACCTCCGTGAGCACGGAGAAGATATGAGGAAGTGGGATGGGAAACCCACCCCTTCCTTAGCAGCCCGGGTACGTGAACTGAAAAGAGGAACAAGTACCACAAGGAACTCTTCAAGGGTAAACATTGCTCCAGTCTCTCGTGGGCAAGACTCCAGACGGTACAGGAATGATGATACGTCTGATCCTCTTGAAGGGACCTCCAGGTCATACCCACAAGAAGAGCACAATGAGTACCATGACCAGGACTAGGGGTGCCCTGCCTCTAGCCAGGTAGAGGAAAGGGACAATCGAGTCTATTGGACAGTGTGGATTCGGTGGCCTGGCACATCAGAGCCACAAAGGTATAAGGCCTTAGTGGACACCGGCGCACAATGTACTTTAATGCCATCAAGATACGTAGGGGCAGAATCCATCTCCATTTCTGGGGTGACAGGGGGATCCCAACAGCTGACTGTACTGGAAGCTGAAGTGAGCCTGACTGGGAAGGAATGGCACAGACACCCCATCGTGACTGGCCCAGAGGCCCCGTGCATCCTTGGCATAGATTACCTGAGGAGTGGGTATTTCAAAGACCCAAAAGGACTTCGTTGGGCTTTTGGCATAGCTGCTGTGGAGACGGAGGAAATTAGACAGTTGAACACCTTGCCTGGTCTCTCAGAGGACCCCTCTGCTGTGGGACTGCTGAAGGTTGAAGAACAATTGGTACCGATAGCCACAGCAACAGTGCACCGTCGGCAATACCGCACCGACCGAGACTCTGTGACCCCTATACATAAGATGATCCGTGAACTGGAGACCCAGGGGGTGGTCAGCAAGACTCGCTCACCCTTTAATAGCCCTATATGGCCAGTGCGTAAGTCCAGCGGAGAGTGGAGGCTGACGGTGGATTACCGTGGACTCAATGAAGTCACACCACCCCTGAGTGCTGCTGTGCCGGACATGCTGGAGCTCCAGTATGAGCTGGAGTCCAAGGAAGCCAAGTGGTATGCCACCATTGACATTGCCAATGCCTTTTTCTCCATTCCTTTTGCCACATTGCCTGAGTGCTGCTGTGCCGGACATGCTGGAGCTCCAGTACGAGCTGGAGTCCAAGGAAGCCAAGTGGTATGCCACCATTGACATTGCCAATGCCTTTTTCTCCATTCCTTTGGCAGCTGAGTGCAGGCCACAATTTGCTTTCACTTGGAGAGGTGTGCAGTACACCTGGAATCGACTGCCTCAGGGGTGGAAACACAGTCCCAGCATTTGCCATGGACTGATCCAGACTGCACTGGAAAAGGCTGAGGCTCCAGAGCACCTACAGTACATTGACGACATCATTGTATGAGGGAACACAGCGGGCGAAGTCTTCGAGAAAGGAGAGAAGATAATCCAGATTCTCCTAAGAGCCGGTTTTGCCATTAAACGGAGTAAGGTCAAGGGACCTGCTCAGGAAATTCAGTTCCTAGGAGTGAAGTGGCAAGATGGACGCCGCCTAATTCCAATGGAGGTGATTAACAAAATAGCAGCCATGTCCCCACCAACCAGCAAGAAGGAAACACAGGCTTTCCTAGGCGCTGTGGGCTTTTGGAGGATGCATATCCCCGAGTATAGTCAGATTGTAAGCCCTCTCTACCTTGTGACACGGAAGAAAAATGATTTCCAGTGGGGCCCCGAACAACAACAAGCCTTTGAACAAATTAAACAGGAGATTGCCCATGCGGTAGCCCTTGGGCCAGTAAGGACAGGACAGGACGTGAAGAACGTGCTCTACACCGCAGCCGGGGAGAATGGCCCTTCTTGGAGCCTCTGGCAGAAAGTACCTGGGGAGACCCAAGGACGACCGCTGGGATTCTGGAGTTGGGGATACAAAGGATCTGAAACCAGCTATACAGCAACTGAGAAAGAGATCCTGGCTGCCTACGAAGGAGTTCGAGCTGCCTCAGAAGTAATCGGCACCGAAGCGCAGCTCCTCCTGGCACCCCGACTACCAGTGCTGGGCTGGATGTTCAAGGGAAGAGTTCCTTCCACACATCACGCCACCGATGCCACGTGGAGTAAGTGGATCGCTCTGA